GCGGCGCTCCAGCGCACGCTGGCACCCCGCGCCTCGCACTTCGCGCGGGGCGGCGGATCGCGCGACGGGGGGGGGATCGGGAACGAGGCTGGTCCTCGCGAGGCGTGGGGGAGGGGTGGGAGGGGGCGGGTCGCGCCTGGCAGGTGGGGGTTCGGCGCGCGTGTGGGGGGGGGGGTGGCCGGGGATGGACCGTCGGGCGGGGTAGGGGCCGCGTTTGGCAGGCGGGCGTCCAGGGGTTTGAAGCGGCGGGGTCGTGCGGACCCCGGGCGGGCTTTCGACGGATCGCTTCTGCCGTGCGTGGGCGCTAAGGTTCCGACACCGCGTAGCCTGTTCTGTCTCGGGCGAGGTCCGCGATCCGACAGCGGAGATCTTTCAAGGTTGGCCCGGTTCAGGCCGCCAGAGGACTTCAACGCGGAGCGCCCGCGCTGGCGTCACCGCCACGTCGACGCGGCTTGAACCTGCCGTATCCTCGTGTTGCTGCAGGCCGCCTCCCAGCTCCAAGTGGCCACTCCCCAGGCGCTCTCTCCGCATGTTGCGATCCTCTCTTCTTCTCTTCTGGGCCCTGGATTTCGTTTCGAACTGCTGGACTAAAGCCGGCTTGAGTATCGCAAGCTTAGGGGAGGATTGCACATCCTGATTTTCATAGCAAGCGCCAGGGTGGCGCCTGCCCTCTCCCCCTTCCCTTCCACTCTTACATCCCAATCTCCTCCTCCGTCCCTTCCTCCCTTGTCCTACTCCTACTCTTCGTCTGGTCTGCATCCTTCTCCTCTGCCTCATCGCTCTGCCTCCTCGTCGTCGTCCTCCTCGTCCCTCCTCCCCCTCCTCCTTTTCCTCTTCCTCCATTTTTCATTTCCTCCCTCTTCCCTCCTGTTTCCTCCCTCCTCATTCCTCCCTCCTCTGCCCCCTTCACAGATGCACATTCAGAGTACTACTCTCCTCTCTTCCCTGATTCAGTCCAGAAGATCGCCAATTCTCTCCGCTCACGTTTTTCCCTCACGAGTCAAACATATTTTTAATGCTTGTTTTACCATCCGATTGTTTTCGGTGTTTCAAAATTGTGCTCCCGCCGCAGCGTGGGTCTCATTTTCGGATTGGCGCTTTGCTCCCGTCGGTCAGAATGGCGCTCTCGCCCAATCGCGGGCCACTTTTGTGGATCCGAGTCCTTTTTCATCATTGCCGCCCCCTTCATTTTCCCTCCTCCGCCTTCCTCTGGTCCTCCTGTTTCTCCCACTCCTTCCACTCCACTCCGTCCTCGTTCTCCTCCTTCCTCATCCTCCTTTCCTCCTGCTCATCCTCCTGCCCATCCGCCGCCTCCTCCTCCAATGTACGCAGCTCCCTTTTTTTCCATCCGCGCATGACACGATGGGCTCCTTTCTGCAACTCCAGATCGGCTATGGCACGTGTCGGTGGGTAGAGAGCAATCAGCTCAATGGCAAGGGATGGGTGGGAGGAGCAGGATGTCAGATTTGGCGCGATCGCACCTCGCTTGTCCCCTCCCCCTCTTCCCTCCTCCCTCTCTCCCTCCTGTCCCTGCTTCCCACCTGCATCCCCGAGAGAAGCTCGAGGCCGGAGCCGGACCCGGACCCAGACGACCTCCCGCAGGAGGCGGCCGAAGAGCCAAGACTGGCTCGAGGTGCCGCCAACTCCAGCCGCGCCGAGACCCACCGCGCGCTCTCCCGGCACGGCGCCCGCCGCTGGCGCCGCCTCGCGCTGCACCGGCAGCGGCTCGGGCGGCCTGGGCGCGGCTCGGGCTCGGGCCCCCTCGGCCACCGAGGGCCGCCGTAGGGAGGGGTGCAAGCGCACCTGCACAACTCTGACCTTGGTTCCTGAAGGCGACAGTCGCCACGGTGTCCGGTGTTTTCCCAGGAGGGGAAACCAGACACATCAGAGTGAGGGGGCCGAGTGGTCATTCACTGTCCCTGGGCGCGTGGCTTACGTGAGGTGCTGCGGTGCGGATTATTATTATTATTATTATTATTATTATTATTATTATTATTATTATTATTATTATTATTATTATTAGTATTATTATGATTATTATTATTATTATGATTATTATTATGATTACTATTGTTATTGTTGTTGTTATTACTATTGTTGTTGTTGTTGTTGTTGCTGTTGTTGTTGTTGTTGTTGTTGTTGCTGCTGTTGTTGTTGTTGTTGTTGTTGTTGTTGTTGTTGTTGTTGTTGTTGTTGTTGTTAATGTTATCGTTTATGTTTTTGTGTTTGTTGTGGTGGTGGTGTTGTTGGTGGTGATTGTTGGTTGTTCATTGTTGTGTTTGATGCTTGTTGTTTGTTGTTTGTTGCTTGTTGTTTGCTGTTTGTTGTCTGTTGTTTGTTGTCTGTTGTTTGTACTTTGTTGTTCGTTGTTGTTGTTGTTGTTGTTGTTGTTGTTGTTGCTGTTTGTTGTCGTTGTCCCCCCTGCGACCCGGCCCGCGACCCGGCCGCGACCCGCGACCCACCCGCGACCCGGCCCGCGACCCACCCGCGTTCCACCCGCGACCCACCCCGCGACCCGCCCCGCGACCCACCCGCGACCCACCTGGCCCGCGACCCGTGCCTGGGCGCGTGGCTGAAGTGAGATTCTGCGGTGTGTATTGTTGTTGTTGTTGATGATGACGGTCATGATGATTGAATTCTCATTTCTGAAGAATATTATTGTTGATCCCCCCCCCACCGGTGCATATTATTTTTTCTCAATCAAAGTGTGCCCCTCGACGCTCGCACCCTGTTTTTTGACTGGGAAAGTCTTCCTGCTCAAACTGGGCCCTTGGCCCCCGGATTACAATAACAACGGCTCCCGCTTGAGACTTCCTTACAAATTAGCCAGGACCCCCGCTCCCGCCCGAGACTTCCTCGCATTTTATTCAGGAATCGCGCTCTCGCTTGGGACTTCCTTACAATTTATTCAGGAATCGCTCTCCCGGCGCTCTGGAGTCGCGCTCTCGCTGGAGACTTGCTTGCAACTTACTGAAGGATTTGCCCAAGCGCCGCGCTCCCGACACCCAGGCACCCAGGAGTCGCGCCCGTTGTGGCCCCATGTGCATGCCCTTCGTGGCCCCGCTGTCGCCATTTGTGTCCCCTCACTGTCCTACGTGGCCCAGTTGCTACCCTCAGTGGCCCCATAGTTGCCTTCTGTGGCCCCGCATTATCTGCACTTCGTGGCCCCCGCTCGTTCGCGCTCTTCGTGGCCCCATACGCATTCCCTTCGTGTCCCCGCTGTCGCCCTTCGTGGCCTACTTCGTGCCCTTCGTGGCCCTGCTGTCGTTCTCTCTCGCTCGCTCGCGTCGTCGTCGTCGTCGTCGTCGTCGTCGTCGTCGTCGTCGTCGTCGTCGTCGTCGTCGTCGTGGTCGGTCCCCTGTCCGTCCCTCTTGGGGTCGGGTCGACGGTCCGCGGCCGCCCCGCCGATCAGCGCTGCCGCTGGCCAGGCCGACGGTCCGCGGCCGCCCCGCCGCTTGCCGGGGCCCGGCCTGCAGGGAAGAAAGGTATACCCCCCAAAAGGGTTCGATCGAAGACGAAGAGGGCGGGTATCGAGGGTTTGGGAAATACGCGTTATTGGACACTCGAGCATATAAGGGCGAACAGTCTTAAAAAATATTGTTGTTGTTGTTGTTGTTATTGTTGTTGTTGTTGCTGTTTTTATTTGTGATTGTTGTTTGTTTGTTGTTTGTTGTTTGGTTGTTGTTTCTTGTTTGTTGTTTGTTGTCGTCGTCCCCCCGCGACCCGTCCCGCCACCTGGCCGCGACCCGCCCCGCGACCCACCGGCGACCCACCCGCGACCCACCCGCGACCAACCCCGCGACCCACCCCGCGACCCGCCCGCGACCCACCCCCCGACCCACCTGCATTTCTTTAACGAAAATATCGTCGCCTGCGGCGAGCTCGTCGTATAAGTTGTAGAATTTAGGCGCCTGCGGTGGGCTTTTTCAGAGCATCGCAGACTGCCGACGTCCTCGCCGCCCCCTCACTCTTATCCGCAACTGCGGAGTGCTACGTGCACTTGGCGTCCCAAATGTGGTCCAAGTAGACGGGGTCGGGAGATCGCTCCGCACCGCCGATGTATCGGCGATGCGGCTCGATGTGGAGGCCGATTTTCTTCCCGCCGGCGTCGCCGATGCATTGCTGATTCCTCCGATGCATCGCCAATGCATCCTCGATGTATCGCCGATGCGCCGGCGATGCGGGGCGATGCTCCGACCCCATCTACGTGGACCCCATCTAGGAGGCTTCCACACGCGCACGCAAAAGACGGCTTCCAGGAAACAGTGGGACACGGAGCGGAAGACGAACCTCCAGGAAAGTATGGAAAACTGTGCGGACTCCTAGAATGTGTATCGGTTCATTTGTGTCTGCCTGGGCGGCGCTGCCCCCTCCGCAGGCCGCCGTGTCCGGGCCTCGCCAAGGTCGCGGCCGTTCTTTGCCCCCCGACGTGCAGCTGGTGGCCGCGGGCGGCTCGCGGCACGGGGCCCATCCTAGACGTCTTGGTCGGCAGCGCCAGCGAACGCGGGCGCGGGTCTCAGCGGCGAGCCCGAGGGGGAAATGAGAGGGGGCGGGCCTTCGCAGAAGGCTCGGAGGTCCCCTGGCCTTCTCAGGAGTTTTCTGAGCCTGCCCCGAAGACACAGAAAAATTGGAGTAGTCTTCCTGGACATCTCACGGGAATCTGCCGCGGCGCCGCGCATCCTTGGATTCTGCGGCACCTTTCTTCCCGAAGCCACGTCCGCATTTTTCTCAGAAGTTGTTTCTTTGGACCTTGCGACAGAGTTCATTGCGCAGTTGTGGTGGCAAGACCCTGGTCGGCACGAATTGGGCGAGCGACGAGCCAAACGTGCTCGTTTCGAGTAAAAGTTTTACCAAACAGTAAACATATAGTTCCGATCAGTGCACGTGTATTTTGTCATTGTAGTTCTTCACCAGGGTACTGTTGATTTGAGTCATTGAGCACCGTGTAGTTTCATCTGTCGACCAACCTGAGGAAGGGCATTACACGGAAAAAAGGCAGAGGGCTTTTGAGAAGCCCCGCCGCCTTCTGGGAAGGCCTTCTCCTTCTTACTTGCCCCGCTCGGTCGATGCCGAGAGGGCCGAGACAAGGGGACAACCCCAGGCGTGCGATGTCCCGATTTTTCAGTACGGGGCCTGCAGAAGTCCCGGCCCCTTTGCTGGGGCCAGTCTTTCATGCCGAGCCGTTCTTTGACGGTCCCGGGCTGGGCGAGGGCCCCCGGAGGCCGAAAGCGGCCCAACGTTTTACATCTTCCGCCGTGCTTCTCAGCTTACGACGCGACCATGTCTGGGATCGGCTGGTGCTGGGCCTGCGCAGCCCGTTCCTCCTCAAGATGCTGCCCATCTCCGAGGCCGGGATCCGTCCACATCCACCCTCTTGCGATCCGACGACGACGCGAAGCGATCGCCATGTCGGGCGAAAGCCACGACCAGAGCCCCAGGCCCCACCTGCCTGCGGCATGTTCTGAGCCAGATCGACCCGTGAGGGCCCCAGGATCCGAATGTATGCGGCACTGCCCAGCTCGAAGCAAACATGCGCCGCGTGGCCCTCAGGGCCGCCCAGGGAGCCGATCTCCCCGGACCTTGGGAGGCGGTGGATCTGAAAATGTGTGGGCACCGCCCCCCGTGGCAGCCCAGGGCCCAGGGCGGCTGTTCCCCTGGCGGTGGGATGTGGGCAGATCCACGCCTCGCAGCACCGGCACGCGGGAGCAGGCCGCACGCGAGGCCCAGCTGCCCGACGTGGCGCCGTGGCAGCCGAAGGCCGTCTCTCTCGGCCTGGACGTGCGGCCGCGAGGCCGAGGTGCGGCCTGGGGGGGCTCGTGCGAGGCCCGGGGAGGGCGCACCGCTCGCCTGCGCGCGGGCGGGCTCCGCCCCTCCGCGGCGCACTGCGCTTCGCTGGGGGGGGCAGCGCGGCGGACTCCGCACGCCCTGCGGCGCCGCGCGCTGCGCGAGGGACCGAGGCTCCGGAATGAGCCCTGCCAGGGCCGGGCGATCGAGGCCGCGCGCGCTCGTTTCGAGCCGGGGATCGGCCAGAGAGTCGATGTGCCCCAGAACTGAGTCTCTCGTTGAGTCTGCCGGAGATGCGACGAGTGCTCGCAGAGGGTGTACGTAGATCTACGAGCAGTCTACGCATGTTTTATTGCATGGCCCTGGCGACACAAGTCAATATTGGGGCAAGTCAGTTCTGTTGTCGATCTTCTACTCGATCGTTTCCGCAGGTCAACGCGAGGCCCTGTCGCAGCAGGGGCTGGCGAAGCGGTGGCAGACCGAAGCGCTGTGCGAACAGCTGTCCGCGTGCGAGCTGTTCGAGGTCACGGAGGGCAACGTGTCCGAGACGCGGGTGGCATCCCAGCGGTTCGCGGTGGAGCACTTGGAAGGTCGCTGCAAGGAGTATTTGATGTCCAGGGTCGCTGCAGTCGCTGCCGCAAGACTCGCCTTGTATTTGCAAGGTGAAGTCGTCCGCCTCCTCACGCCCGTCCTGCGTGGCCTCTTGCCAGCACTGTTCCGACAACAGCTGGAGTGCGACGGGCTGCCCGCTTCCAACGAGGAGATTGTCCTGGCGCTCGCCCTGCTCTTTATCCAGGAGCGCGGTGGTCCTGACGTGGGGCGAGAATCTGGCGGAAGCTTCACCCCAGAGGAAGTCGACGATGTGCTGTGCGCTGGCGCCTTGTGTCGGGCCCAGTCATCGCCGAGCAGGTCATGGATCATCCGGTGGTGCTGGAAGACCCGATGCGAGTGCGGCCGCGGTTGTTTTGCGCTCTCGCGGACGGCATGCGAGTCCAGATGTTGGGAGGCAAGGCAAACATAATGCAGCACGACCATCGAGACCCCATCACCAGCTACTCATCCTTGGCTGTGGACATTGCGGTTGCAGACGCCGCGCCCTCGACGCAACGAACCTCCACGGTGAATTGGAATCCGAATAAAGGTCTGCTTTGTCGCACTTTCCACGTAAGGGAGCTGCACGACGATACTTGCTCCGCCGAGGTTCACGACAATATTTGCTCTATGCGCGTGAGCTGGGTGTTTCCCTTCGACGCCCTGCTTGGCTGGCGTCTGGCCGTCCATGGCGTAAGCCGCTCCACCCAGTAAGCGCGCGCTGTCAATCGCAGCTGCTGAAACTTGGCGTCTGTGCATACTCAAAACCATTGTAAGCTGTAAGCTGTTCAGCCAGGGAAAGGCCCTCCACGATGGGGTCCGTGAGGACCGTGCGTTCAACCACTGCGAGGACAACCCGCGAGAGTTCCAGAACGGCAGTCTGAGGCAGGCTGTTCTTTGGTTCTAGTGCGCTTGGACCGCCGCCAGCACTGCCCCCGAGTTTGGTCTTCGCATGCGCGAGCCCTTGTTGGCATGCGCCTGCTGGATCCCTTATCTCTCACCCAGGCCCTGACCCTCACGTTTCAACTCGCACTTGTCCCTCCCGTTCCCCTCCTCCAGAAACCTCCCTCCTCCCACTCCCATCTCTGTCCAGGTATCCGTCCCCATGCCCATCCAATTTCCATCCCCGACCTTACAGTATCCTTCGTCATCGTCGATCCTCTTCCGCATCTTCGCCTTCGCGCCTCATCCTCGTCCCCCGTCCCCGTTTGGCGCTTTCGTCCTGGTCCCCGCGCCCCCGTCCCTGTCACCTTCGACTTCCCGTCTCGTCTCCGTCCTCATCTGCGTCCCCGCCTGGCGCTCCTGCCCTCCCCGCCTCCCTCCAGCGGCCGTGCAGTCCCGGCAAGCGATCCTGCGGTGCCACGACGAGGTCACCAGGAGGACCGCCGAGGCCCCCGTGCGCGTGGCAGCCCCCCTGCCGCCACCACCGCCCGGGGAGGAGGGGCCGCATGGTTGGCAGAATTCGGCAGGTGCGCGCCGTCACGATGCGTCGGCGACGCCGGCGCGGGGGCTCAAGGTCCAACGCCCTCTGGGGGGCCGTCTCTCCAAGGCCCGAGGGCGGCATAACCATAATTGTTCGGAGGTCCGCGTGGACCTCCGAAAGCTGAGGCTTCCGCCTTCCCCATTCCTCGAATCTCGGGCCCGGGGGGGTCCGGAGAGCCCACGGCGCGAAGCCCACACGGCGGGGTCGGCAGCCTCCAGGGCCGTGGACAGGTGAAACCCTGAACCTTCTGGGGCGGCGATGTCGCATTCGGCCTGGCCCCGTGTTCGGCACCGCGCGCGCAGCGCGAGGAGAACGGGGGGGGGGCGGCGCGCTCTGCGGGGCCTGCCCGCTGCAGCCGTCGTGCGCCGAGCCTCCGGAGGCCCCTGAAGGCCCGAGAGAGGCCGAAGATGTCCAACAAAAGTTGTGCGAACGCATCCCGGAACCGCCCCGCTCGCTTCTCGGGGGGGCGAGGGCAGACCTTGCAAAGCAGGAGGCCCTCCACCGCGCCCTGCCTCACTCAAGCCAGGCTCGGCCGAGAAGCCCGAGGAGGCCCTCTTCCTGCGGCGGCGGCGGGCGTGAGGCACCGCGGCCAGGGAGCGCGCATGCGCGAGAGGGTTGGCAGGCAGCGCTCCTGGCCCGGCCACCCGCAAGAGCCTCGGTTCGTGGGCCTGCTTCTCACTGCTACCCCCTGTGGGTCATGGGCGGCTGCTCAATGCTCGTGGTTTGCTGGGCGCGGCGCACGCCTCGCACAGCAATGCACTACTGCCATGGGTCAGCCGCCCCTGCTTGGTCGCCGCTGCGCCGCTGCCGCCGACGCTGGTGTCGCTGCAGCTGTCGTCGTCGTCGTCGTCGTCGTCGTCGTCGTCGTCGTTGTCGTCGTCGTCGTCGTCGTCGTCGTTCGTCGTCGTCGTCGTCGTCGTCGTTCGTCGTCGCAGCCGCGGCCGCCGCCGCCATCGCCGTCGCGGTGGCCCGAGAGCGGTCCCCGCTGCAGAGGCCCTCGAGAGCGTCGCCAGCCTCTCCGCCGAGGCGGGCGAGGCCGAGCGGGAGCTGGCCCTGCTGGCGGAGGCGGCCGGCCCCGCGGAGGCGCAGCTGGCGAGCCCCGCAGGGGCTCGGGGGCCGCTGCCAACTCTCCACCTGTATCGGTTCTGGCCAGCCCCAGGGCTCCGATCCCATCTCTGAAGGACCAGCATTTTGTCGCGGATGTCCCACCCAGAACGCATCCGTGCGACGGCGCGTCCGCGGGATCGCGCCCCAGAATTCAGGCCGCGAGGGCGCGGACACGGGTATGCTCGCCGTCCGTGAGCCTCGCGCGCCGCTTCGCTACCCCGTAGCTGCTTTCTGCTGCAGGGCAGCGTTTTCATCCACGCATGTCAGGGCGCAACAGTCACGTTGATGCGCGGCGTTGAAATTCCAGGCATGGTGTTTTTGGCACGGTTGGAGATTCTCAGACGGTTGTCTTCCAATGGGGCGCTTCCCGCCATGAAGATATATCCTTGTAGGGACCTGGGAAGAGGGAACTTGCAGGGAGGTATCTTTGCAACATCGTTAGTGCGTCTTGGGTTTGCACTGGTCCTCCTCCTCCTCCCCTGCTCCCCATGGCTCATTTCCCATCCTCTGCCCCCCTTCCCCTCGAGAGGCCGAGAAGGAGAAACCGCCGCCAGACGGCCCGGACGAGGCCCCCGCGCTGCCAGAGCCCGAGAAGCCGGAGCCCGAGCCGCCGCGCTTCCTCGGCAGGAGGGAGGGGGGCAGGGGGCAGGGGAAGGGGGCGGGGAACGGGGAGGAGGAGGGCAGAGGTTTGGTTTCGGGGAGGGGCCCGCGCCTCGGGTCGCGCTGCGCAGGCTTCGCCCTGGCGGCAGAGACGCCGCGAGGACGCGTCGGGACCTGCGCCGCGGCAGCTCGGGGGCATGCGCGCGCGGTGCGGGCGGCGCGCGAGCCGCACATATTTTAATGTGGGGCCGCCGAGACGTCCGAAAGGGCGTCTGGGGCGTCCCTGGGGGGGGTATCTGGTTTAGGTTGGGGTGGGTGGGGTGGTGGTGGGGGGTTTCCGGGTCATATAGAAATGCAGGAACAGGAATATGGTGCAGCAGTCTACGTTGTGCAAGAGTTGTGGTGCAATCTACGTGGTGCAATTTCTGTTCGCAGTGAGTTGTCCACTCCACTGCTCGCGCAAACATCCAACCCACCCACCCGCAACTTGGTTTGCAAAATCTCTTAAGACCGTGACGGTGGGTACCAAATGGCACTTGGCAGCGACAGCGACGCCGACGACGACAGCGACTACGACGACGACGACGCCGCCGACAACGACTACGACGACACCGACGACGCCTCCAACGACGTCGGCGACGCCGACAACGACGACGACGACGACACCGACGACGACGACGACGCCGACGCCGACGACGACGACGACGATAACGACGACGACGATGACGACGCCGACGACGACGACGACAACGACGACACCGACGACGACGACGACGTCAACGACGCCGACGACGACGACAACGACGATGGCGGCGACGACGACGACGCCGATGTCGACGACGACGAAGACGACGACGACGCCGACGCCGACGACGACGAAGACGACGACGATGACGTCGCCAACGAAGACGACGACGAGGGAGGAGGGAGGACGACGACGGCGACAACGACGACAACGACGACAACGACGAGGGAGGAGGGAGGACGGCGACGACGCGAACGACGAAGAAGGAGGAAGGACGGCGACGCCGACGACGATAACGACGAGGGAGGAGGAGGGAAGACGACGACGACAACGACGACGACGACGACGACGGCGACGAAATAGGAGGGACGACGACGAGACGCCGACGACGGACGACGACGACGACGAGAGAGGAGGAGGAAGGACGACCACGGCGACAACGACGACGGAAACGACCACGACGCCAAAGAGGACGACGACGACGAACACGAGGAAAGACAGAGGACGACGTAGGCGACGACGACGACGACGCAGGAGGAGGGGGGACGGCGACGACGACGACGACGCAAGAGCGCGTGCGCACGCTTTTGTCGAACATCCGTGTTGCGAAACCTTCTGTTTTTGTAGGTTTTTTGTACACACGATTTTGAAATCCTTCCGAAACCGATGGGTTTTGAATGATTTCGGCACGCGCGCGCGACGACGCGCGCGTCTGCACTTCGTCCCAGTTTGTGCAGAGGATTCCCGCGACGGCACACGCGCAAGGGCGTTCGACAGATTTCGACATGCGCGCGCGCGGAGCCCGTTTGGTAGCATTTTGTGAACATCTTGAAACACCCATGGTTTTCTTAAGATTTCGCAAGAGCGCGCGTCAGCTTTTTTAGCAAATCAGTGTTGCGAAACCCTGTGTTTTTGTATGTGTTTCGGAAACTCGATTGCGAAATCCTTCCGAGACCGAAGGTTTTTCAAGGATGTCGGCATGCGCGCGCGACGACGCGCGCGTGTGCACCTCGTACCGTTTTTTTTGCGAGGGATTCGCGAACAAGTCTTATGTTAAAACAAAAGGTGACCCCGCGTATTGTTTTTTACAAGGGAACCTCAGGGGGGCGATCTTGCCCCCCCTGGGATAGTGCAAATTCATATTTAGGATGGACATGTGGTCAGAGTCATATATGATTTACATTACCGAAAGGGGGGGATCACGCCGGGGGGGTAGAGTCTATTCTTTTTTTGGAAAGGAGAATCAGTCACTTGCTCAACTTGCAGCTGTCCTCTCCACTGCTCGTGCAACCATCCCACTCTCGCACCCGCAACTTGGTCGCAAGACCTCCTATGACCGTGACGGTAGGTACCACACGGCACTGGGCAACAACACCGACGCCGACGACGACAGCGACAACGACGACGACGCCACCGACAACGACTACGACGATGCCGACGACGTCTCCAATGACTTCCAGGACGACGCCAACGACGACGACGACGCCGACACCGACGACGACGACACCGACGCCGACAACGACGACGACGACGATGACAACGCCGACGGCGACGACGACGCCGACGACGACGACGCCGACGACAACGACGACGAAGACGACGACGACGACGTCGCCAACGAAGACGACGACGACGAGGGAGGAAGGAGGACGACGACGGCGACAACGACGACAACGGCGAGGGAGGAAGGATGACGGCGACGACGCGAACGACGAAGAATGAGGGAGGACGGCGACGCCGACGACGACAACGACGAGGGAGGAGGGAAGACGACGACGACGGCGACGACGGCGACAAAATAGGAGGGACGACGACGAGACGCCGACGACGGACGACGACGACGACGAGGGAGGAGGAAGGACGACCACGGCGACAACGAAGACGGAAACGACGACGGCGCCGAAGAGGACGACGACGACGAGGAAAGACAGAGGACGACGACGGCGACGACGACGACGACGAGGGAGGAGGGAGGACGGCGACGACGACGACGACGCAAGAGCGCGCGCGTACGCTTTTGTAGAAAATCCGTGTTTCGAAACTTTACGTGTTTGTATGTTTATTGGACGCTCGATTTGGAAATCCTCCCGAAACTATTGGTTTTCGAAGGATTTCGGCATGCGCGCTCGACGACGCGCGCGCGTGCACTTCGTCTTGGTTTTTGCAGAGGAGTCTCACGACGGCACGCGCGCAAGGGCGTTCGATCGATTTCGACATGCGCGCACGACGACCGCTTGGTAGTATTTTCTGAAAATATTTAAAGACCTGTGGTTTTCTCAAGGTTTCGCAAGAGCGCGCGCGTAAGCTTTTTTAGGAAACTCAGTGTTGCGAAACCTTGTGTTTTGATATGTTCTTTAAAACTCGATTTTATTTGGAAGGATGTCGGCATGCGAGCGCGACGTCGCGCGCATGTGCACTTTGTCACGTTCTTTGCAGAGGATGGCGGGGGGGGGTCGATACCGGATTGGCCAGGATAGTACGAGTTCACAGGTCGGATGGGCATTGGGTCAGAATCCAATGTGTTTTGCGTCGTTTCCCAGGTGATCTTTAACCCCGGGTGGGGAGGGTGGTAGAACTCATTTTTTGGAAAAGAGAACTCACTTGCCGAACTTGAAGTTGTCAAGGATACTGCTCGCGCAATCATCCCACCCACCCGCCCGCAACTTGGTTTGCAAACCCATGCGGGAGCGATTGCGATGAGTGCTGGGTGTTGGCTGGTGCATCTCTGCGGCCGCGCTAGCCCGCGCATGCTCGCGCGCGCAGCGGCCAGCTAGTTTGGCGCGACCGACGCGAACGCGGTGGCGCTGACCGCTTGGCACATCCCAGCGGGCACTTCAGTGCGAGTCGGCGACTTTGGCGGGCGCGGTATCATGGCAACGTCGACAACGGTAACCACGATGATGACAGTAGCGATGCTGGTGACGATGCTGACAGCGACGACGGGGCAGCCAGTCACGGCGCCGTTGCTGATCACGCCGACGACGATGACGGCGTCTTCGCGTCGGTGATGAAGGTTTCGGGAAGGAATTCCGAATTCGCGCGCGGCAGACGCGAGAGTGGCTCGCATGGTATCATTTGACACGGATCTTGCCACCACAACGCGCGCGCCAGGGCGTTCGCACGATTTCGGCATGCGCGCGCGAAGCCCGTTTGGTAGCATTTTATGAAAAAAAGGTTAACACAGCTTAAGGTTTTTTCTGAAGAGTTCGCACAAGCGCGCACGCTTTGTGTTGAACATCAGTGTTGCGATTTTTTTCCATATATATACACACGCACACGTAAAACGTAGCTTGACGAAGGACCCGACCATATGCAGTTGCGAGTGCCACAAGGCAGGTTGAGCGAACGAGAAGGAACTTTCTATGGGGCCACAAAAAAATTGAGGGGTGTGCCGACATGTGTGCGGCGGGCGCATACGAGCGCAACCAGTGGTGCTTTCGGTATAGCTCCCTGTGAGGCCACGAAACGACGTGCGAGAAGTGTGCCGACAATGGTGCTGTGGGCGCATTGGAACGCAGCCATTGGGGCCTTCGGTGGAGCTCCTTGTGGGGCCAGGAAACGTGTGAGGGGTGTGCCGACATGGGTGCGGTGGGCGCATACGAACGCAGCCATGGGGGCCTGCGGTGTAGCTCCTTGTAGGGCAACGAAACGTGTGAGAGGTGTGCCGACATGGGTGCGGTGGGCGCATGCGAACGCAAGAATTGGAGCCTTCGGTGGAGCCCCCTGTGGGGCCACGCAACGTGTGAGGGGGTTGCCGAAATGGGTGCGGTGGGCGCATGTGAACGCAGCCGCTGTGGCCTTCGGTGGAGTTCCCTGTGGGGCCACGAAACGTGTGAGGGGGTTGCCGAAATGGGTGCGGTGGGCGCATATGAACGCAGCCAGTGTGGCCTTCGGTGGAGCTCCTTATGGGGCCACGAACCGTGTGAGGGGTGTGCCGAAATGGGCTCGGTGGGCGCATGCGAACGCAGCCTGACGGCCTTCGGTGGGGCCCCCTTATGGGGCCACGAACGTGTGAGGGGTGTGCCGACATGTGTGCGGTGGGCGCATGCGAACGCAGCAAGTGTGGCCTTCGGTGGAACTCCCTGTGGGGCCACGAAACGTGCGAGGGGTGTGCCGAAATGGGTGCGGTGGGCGCATGTGAACGCAACCGCTGTGCCCTTGCTCCCGGTGGGGCCACGAAACGTGTGAGGGGTGTGATGAAATGGGTGCGGTGGGCGCATTCGAACGCAGCAAGTGGGGCCTTCGGCGGAAGTCCCCATGGAGCCACGAAACGTGTGAAAGGGTGTGCCGAAATGGGCGCGGTGGGCGCATGCGAACGCAAGAATTGGAGCCTTCGGTGGAGCTCCCTGTGGGGCCACGAAACGTGTGAGGGGGTTGCCGAAATGGGTGCGCTGGCGCATGTGAACGCAGCCGCTGTGGCCTTCGGTGGAGTTCCCTGTGGGGCCACGAAACGTGTGAGGGGGTTGCCGAAATGGGTGCGGTGGGCGCATGCGAACGCAGCAAGTGTGGCCTTCGGTGGAGTTCCCTGTGGGGCCACGAAACGTGTCAGGGGTGGTGGTGATGATGATGAGGATGATGATGACGATGGGTGGAGGGAGGAGTGGGAGGAAGAAGAGGAGAGGAGAGGAGGAGTGACGCGGGGCGCTGTCTGTTCAAAACGAGGACCCAACACCACACAGGATGGTAGGGGGAAAGCATGTTTTTTTGAGCACTTGATTTTGAAATCCTTCCGAAACCGAAGGTTTCTGAAGGATGTCGGCATGCGCGCGCGACGACGCGCGCGTGTGCACTTCGTCTCGTTTTTCGCGAAGGATTTGTGAGCATGTATGATTTGTCATAAACGAGTGCGCGCGCATAGTAGTTTTTGCAGAGGATGGCAGGGGGGGGACCGATACCGGCCTAGCTGGGATAGTCTGAATTTTCAGGTAGGATGGACAGTGGGTCTGAATCATATGTGTTTTGCATCGAGAAATCCGTGGGGGGGAGGGTGGTAGAACTTTTTGGTAGAAAGGAGAACTGATGTGTTTCGAGTTGACACATATGTTCTTACAAATATTCCACCCACCTGTCCGCAAGTTGGTTTGCAAAGCCCGTGCGGCGGCGGTTGCGAAGAGTGCTTGGCGTTGGTTGGTGCATTTCTGCGGCCGCGATAGCCCGCGCATGCTCGCGCGCGCAGCGGCCAGCTAGTTTGGCGCGACCGGCGCGGCTGCTGTGGCGCTGACCGTTGGGCACTTCTCAGCGGGCACCGTAGTGCAACTCGGTCACTTGGGCGGGCGCGGTGTCATGGCTCATGGCGACGCCGACAACGGGAGACACGGCTGTGCAAGTAACGATGATGGTGACGATGGTGGCGTTGACGACGGTGCGCCAATGATGGCGCCGATGTTGATCACGCCCGCCGGTGATGAGGACGATGCTTTCGCATCAGTGATGAACGCTTTAGAAGGAGTTGGACATGCGCGCGCGGCCGGCGCGCGTGCGAGTGGCCTTCGTGGTGTTTTTTGACGCGGATTGTGCCCTCCAGCGCGCGCGCGCGATGCTTTTCGAATGATTTCGGCATTTGGCGCGAAAGGCCCGCTTGGCAAAACTCCATGCAACTGTTGAACATTTATTATTTTCGCAAGGATTCGCATGAGCACGAGCGCAGTTTTTTTCGACAGCCGTTGCTGCGAAACCATGTTTTTTTGTTTTGGTATAGTTTCGGGACGCGTGGTTTTGAAATCCTTACGGCACCTAGTGTTGTTGAGGGATTTCGGCATGCGCGCGCGACGACGCGCGCGTGTGCATTCCGTCCCATTTCTTGCAAACGGTTCTTGCGACAGCACGCGCGCAAAGGGCGTTCGAACGATTTCAACATGCGCGCGCGAAGCCCGTTTTGTTGCATGTTTTGTCGATGCTGAAAGCAACACTAGTTTCTCGCAGGAATTGGCAAGAGCGCGCGCGAATTTTTGTTTGAACATCCTTGTTGCGAGACCATATGTTATCATTTGTTTTTTGGGTATTCCAGTTCGGTTTTCGAAAGGCTCTGGCATGCGCGAGCGACGACGCGCGCGTGTGTTTTTTTTTGGGTGGGGGGTGGGGGGTGGGGGGGAAAAATCATGACATCTCGACAACTGCTGATTCTTGATGAAGGAGAGTGCGGGCATCGTACTATTTGACAGGGATGACAGGGGTGGTCGATACCAGCCTGGTTGGGATGTTACGAGCGAATTTATATGTCGGATGGACGATAAAAGGGGCAAGCTCGCATGTAATTTGCAATACGGGAAGGTGACCCGTTAACCCCGGGGGGGGGGGGGGGTCGATTTATTTTTTGTCGAAACATGAACCAATGTGGTACGCAGTTTATGTGGTGCAATCGACGTGATGCAACTTGCGGGGTGCAATTTGCGTTGTGTGTGCAGTCTAGGTGGTGCAACTTTTGCTGTGCAATTCGTCTTGCAAACAGTGGAAGTTGTCAATTCCACTGTTCGCGCAATCATCCCGCCCACCCACCCGCAATTTGGTTTGCATAACTCATGCGGCGGCGATTGCAATGGCGCATCGCCGCGGCCGCGGTCGCGCGCGCAGGTTCGCGCGCACAGCGGCCAGCTAGTTTGGCGCGACCGACGCGGCAGCGGTGGCGTTGACTGCTGGGCACCACTCAGCGGGCACGTCGGTGCGAGTAGGTGACTTGGGCGGGCGCGGTATCATGGCGACGCCGACGACGGTCGAAACGTTTATGGAGGTACCGATGATTCGGCGGCGCGCAGGGGGTATTGGGGAGGGGGGAAGGCTTCTTAGAAGGAGGCTGCTTCTTAGAAGGCGCCGGCCTTACATCTACAGAAAAGGCCGGCGCCTTCTAAGAAACATGGGTGCTTCTAAGAAACGTTTCCCCTTCCCCCTAGTCCCCTCTGCGCGCCGCCTAATGATGGTGAAGATGGTGGCGCTGACGACGGCACAGCCAATGACGGCGCCGATGTTGATCACGCCCGCTGGTGATGAGGACGATGCTTTCGCATCGGCGATGAACGTTTTAGCAGGAGTTGGACATGCGCGCGCGGCCGACGCGGCGGCCATGTCCTCTGGCGCGACCGACGCGGCCGCGGTGGCGTTGACCGTTGGGGATTTCCCCACAAGTGGTGCAATCGATGTTGCGCAATCTGGGCGCTCTTGGGGCGGCGGCGGCGACCACGGAACCGCCAGACCGACACCCAAAACCAGACGACGGGCCGCGGCGGCGACCAGGCGGCGACGGGGCGACGAAAGCGAACACAGAACCGCCAGACCGACACCCATGCCCAGACGACAGGCGGCGACGAGGCGGCGACGGGGCGGCGACGGCGAGCACGGGACCGCCAGACAAACACCCACGTCCAGACGACGGGCGGCGACGAGGCGGCGACGGGGCGGCGACAGCAGACGCGGGACCGCCAAACTGACACCCAAGCTGACACACTTGGCACTTTTTCATTGCATGTTGCATTGGCGCCCCATTCTGGTGCATCATTTGCTACAGCGCGCGCGTGACACTGGTGTCGCCGAGCCGTGGGTCACGTTAGCTTTGAAGGGTCAGGTTAGTTTGGGCGCAATGTCGACAGGGCTTGGGTCAGGTCAGGTCAGCGATTTGCCACGTTAGGGGGGTGTAAGAACCCTCAAGTGCAAACACTGTTAGGGGAATCGTACGGAGAGTAACATAATTCATACTGATTCTTTTATGGCAAGAACCAACAACTTACAACACACTATCAGTACATCCATCGAGAATAACTACATTTCTAACATGGGCAGTCAGACTACTCATACGAATAACAATAATATGGAGATGCTGATGATGATGCTGCTGATGATGGTGGTGATGATGATTATGAGGATGGTCATTGTGATTGTGATGGTGAGGAATAGGAGACAGAAGAGGAGGTGGCGGACGATGAGGAGGGGTAGCAGGGGGAACGAGAGGAGGCGGAGAAGGAGGAGAAGGATCACAGTTAACCCAGGATGCATCAACGATGCTGTCATGAGCGCCCCCCGTCCCAATTCCTTTCGTCACAAGTCCTTACAAACATTCGTTTCAACTGGGGGAAACTTTCCCTTGAGTGACGAATGCCCAGTGGGCCTGACACTCGGGCGAGGAGTTCTTCAACAGGACCCCCATTTGGAAAAGTGAGCGGGCCTCCATCATTGTAGGCGTCGGAAGCTTTAAATCGGATGCGCGCGGTGCTGAGGGAAAAGTCGCTTTTGAAAACCACCTGTCCTCCATCCTTGTAGCGGTTGGAAGCTTTTAGCACGGATGTGGTCGGTGCTAAGGCGAGGGCCTCATTTTGACACGCATTGCCCCGCCGTGTTCGTAATCATTGGAACCTTTAAGCACGAATGTGCGCGGCTGTGCGGCGAGAGCCGCATTCTGAAAATTAGTTTTTGGCTTCCAGCTTCAGCGTCGTAAATTGCGAGGGCGCCTCAAGCGAAACGCCTGGGCCCAGGGAGGCCCCTGGCAGGCCCTTGGGAGGCCCGAGTCGCTGAAAAACTGGCCGCGATGGTCCCTTCACGACGCCTGGAGGTCTGGATCCGTCCTCTCTCCGCCCCCTCCCCTCTTGCAGAGAGCAGGCCTCCCGTTGGGTTCAGTTCTTGCAACAAACATAGCTGGACACTAAGGTGATGAAGCAGGCATTTTCGGATCCTCTTCGGCGCCACACGGCGTCACAAACCAGCAACATCTTGCCGACGGAGCTGTTTCTCGCGTGGTCTGCGGATGGTGGGGGCGTGTAGCAACCTGGTCTTCTCTTTCCTGTCCCACGCCGCCGTCGCCAGGAGGCGACGTCGGATTTCGACGGAGTGCCGCCGCTGCCACCGCCGCCGCTGCCTCCTTCCGGCTCTCCGCTGACAGGAAAATATCCGTATCCACCGCCCCGGGGTTGTGCCCAGGGATCCTGAGGACCTCCTTGGAGTGGTGGACATGGACATGGATGCGTGCCCGCCCCTTGGGGCGGGACGCGCATCCTCACCCCACTACTCCCAAGGGATCCCAGGGTTGGTCGGTGCTTGCTGCCAGGTGCACCCGGGACACGCAAGCATGCATTCATGCGCGTGGACTGGCGACGGGTCCCGCTATCATGCGGAATCGGCGCGTTCCTCGGCCACATCAGGCGGCGCCGGCCTCGTGCTTCGGGGGTGCCTTCCCCGGTCCACGGAGCCCTAACCCATGTCAGCGCGTGCCCGAGTGCAGGCCCGCGCGCCGCCGCCGCCAGGAGCCGACGCCCGACCCCGAGTGAGTGCCCCGCGGGTCGCCCGCGTTTCAGGCCCCCCCCCTCTCGGCGGCCACGATCTCCTGGGGCGTCGCTCCTGGGCGCCCCTCTGGCGCCGCGCCCTGCTGCCTAGGGTGAGAGGAGGAGGAGGAGGAGGAGGAGGAGGAGGAGGAGGAGGAGGAGGAGGAGGAGGAGGAGGAGGAGGAGGAGGAGGAGAGGAGGAGACGAGGAGGAGGAGGAGGAGAGCAAAAGGAGGAGGAGCAGGAGGAGGAGGAGGAGGAGGAGGAGGAGGAGCAAAAGGAGCAGGAGGAGGAGGAGGAGGAGGAGGAATGTGGCCGCCTGCAGGGCCGCATGGAGCTTCGAAGCGACAACAAGCCTCCGAAGCAACGTCGCCATCGCCGTCGCCGTCGCCGTCGCCATCGCCGTCGCCGTCGCCGTCGCCGTGTCCGTCGCCTTTACCGTCGCCGTCATCGCCGTCGTCGTCGTCGTCGTCATCGTGGTGGTGGTGGTGGTGGTGTTCGTCATCGTCGTCGCCAGCATGGCGGTGCTGGTGGTGGTGGTCGTCGTCGGGCGCACACGCAGCAAGGGTCAGAGCCCGCCGCCCCACGAGACTTCGTCGAGGGCGCAACCGGCGACACTGCCGTCCCCCCTCCCCCAACAGCGCCGCGCGAGGCGTGTGATTGCGGGATGAGGAGGAAGGGAGGGAGGGAGGGAGGGAGGGAGGGAGGGAGGAGGAGAATTAGGAGGAGGAGGAGGAGGAGGTGGAGGATTTTTTTGACATCAACATCAAGGTAGAGAACCAGCCCAGACAATTAGGGCAGGACGGCTGGTCAAGCCAGCAACTAGAGTCGCCCTCATCACGGTGCGCGAGCACCGAAATAAACGACGCCTCTCTGGCCTCACAGCGAGAAAAGGCCGGGGCACAGGGCAAACCAAGAAGGAGGGCCCTGAGGGGCTCGAGAGAACAAGGGGAGAAGATTGCATTACCCGCCGCGCTGACGGGCCAGCTGCCCAGATCTGCGCGGAGAAAGCAGGAGCGGCAGAGCCAGGCGAAAGACGCGGGGGCGAGGGCTGACCCTGAAGGTGCAATGCCCAAGCCTGCGCCGCGCGGACAATTAGGGCAGGACGGCTGGTCAAGCCAGCAAATACTAACACCTGAAAAGCGAGGAAAAGCAGCGGGCCACAGGGTCATCTCCAGCTGGCTGGAGGATACCCCGTGGCCCGCTGCTTCTCCCCCAGGCGTTAGTCCGAACTAGAGTCGCCCTCATCACGGTGCGCGAGCACCGAAATAAACGACGCCTCTCTGGCCTCACAGCGAGAAGAGGCCGGGGCACAGGGCAAACCAAGAAGGGGGGGAGGAGGAGGAGGAGAAGGAGGGCCCTGAAAAAGAAAACGAGAGGCTTCTTCGTCCGCCTCCCAGTCCTGCAAACCAGCGTGCTCGGACACAGTCGCTCCCCCCCCCGCTCCCCGCTCCACCCCGTCCCCACGGTCCTCGGCGGCGGTGGCGGGGCGCGGAGAGCCGTGCTCCTGCGCCGCGGCGGCACCTGCATCGGCTACCTGAAGGCCTCCTCCCTTCTGCGCCCACGGCCCTCTCTCAACCGAGACTCCTGGACGCTTAGGATGGAGGCCTTTACAAATCGGGTGCCAACTGTTGTACTTCTTTGATCTGGTCGGGCCGCTGCAAACATCCGCAAGGCCCGACGCACGACCATGAGACGAATAAGAATAGCACTTGGTGCAGATCACCAAAGTCGAATTGTCTGAGCAGGCCAGCGTCAAACACCTGTGTCCCCGCGCCTCCAAAACCTGCGCCTCCATCCCTCGAACAGGGGAGCACTTCGAGGAAGGAGGCGGGGGACCATGGGTGGAAAGACGGCTGACTTTTGCACACCTCGAACACTTCCAAAAGCCCGAGACGGAACCAAGCTCGACAATCTGGATGGGCTGCCAATCGCAAAGCACAGAGGAAACCACCTGGGGGGGGTCTTTAGGCGGCTGAATCCACACAACGTCTTGGAGGTCTAATTTGGGCCACAAAGGCATCAGCTTAGCAGACAGTGATGCCACAGCCCTAGAAAACTTAATGTCGAGATCAAGCCTGCACCTGTCCTCCTCCGACGGCTGTGGGTGCCCCAGGTACCCTTCCCCCGCAGAAGCACTTTTAGCTCCAACATCAGCGTGGTGGTTCCCAAAACGGCACATCTTGTCATGATTGTCGGTCCACTCTTCCAAAGAGCGATGCGCTTTCACTTTGTTCAAAGAGCGGACCTTCCAGAAATCTGAAAGGAGGGAGAGGGAGAACCCGCTGTAGCATCGCTTAGGTGAAAGCTGGTCAATCTGAGGGCGACCGAAGTGATCTTTGACCAGCTGAGCATCTGTATAAAAATCCGAAGGTCCTCCTGAGAAAAGTATGGCTTGACAAATAGCAGCAAACTCGCCCGCAGGGGCAGTCTGGGGGTAGCACGGGGGGACGGGACCGTAGAGCTTTCCCAAGAGGTCCCCCTGGTCGTCCACAGCCACAAAACACCAGCCTGCCCTGCTGAGCTCGCGAACTATATGCTTACATGCGCTACCGTCTGTGAAAATATTGTTTGTGAAAGGAAATTGGCCTACCTCCTGGGGAAGGTCCTCCCTGGCCCAGAAAGTACCAGACGACTCGGCCGCGGGACCAGGAAAATAATCCCCAGGGTGGGCAAAAGCTCCAAAACAAGACCGAATCGAATTGGGCTCCTCCAGGGCCTTGCAAACAAGCTCGGGAGTAACAAGACTGGAACGGAGCTCGACAACCTCCTGGCACCTGCAGACCCAAAGTCGGTGGTGGAGCGTGTCGGGGGCTGAGCCGCAGAGGTGGCACGTGGGGTCTATCTGGTAACCCAATCGCAATGCTTTAGCACGAGTCCACACTGCGTCCGTAGCAACAGCCCGAATACACCCTTTCTCGAGAGCTGAGTATTTTTTGCGGCGGAGCTCGAACTTCACCACGTCAAAGCACAGACGATGAGGCACATCCCATTTAGCACCAGCTTCCCACTCGAGAACCCTGAAGACTGCCCCGCGGAGATGGTGCTTGACAAGCTGGGGGGACATGAGGGTCATGGAAAGCTCGATCCCCTTGTCAGTGACGAAAGTGGCGAAGTCCCTCATCGTCCACGAGATCCTCTCCAAGGACTTGCGCATGGCGGCCACAGGACCACCTACCGCCCTCCACGAGGGGGAATCCTGAAGAAAAACACCTTCCCACGCTTGCCTCAGCTCCCTGAAAGGAATCGAGCCTTCAAAGGCCCTGACCTGAGAGCACCAAACTTCCTTGTGCCACCGCAAGATCGGGGAAACGGCCCCAACCCAAGCAGGGTCGCCTTCGAGGTGGGAAAGCACCGTCAGGGAGCGTTGGCCAGCTGAAGGCTTTATAGTCCTGGCCGCCGCACGGCGGATGAGCATCAGCTCGTAGTCAGTAACCCCTCTAACCTCGCTGCCATACAGCAAGCCAGGGAGCGGTCCTGCAGTGAAAACTCGCAAAGTTCTCCTGGAACCAAGGGTCTTACGAAGTTTAGCCACTCGGCCAGTGCGTTTGATGAAAAGACGTCTCCTAATCACAAGCTTTTTGTTACGACCCTGGGTCCGAGAACTCTTCCCCACCGTGTCGTCCACCCCAAGGTTAACAGCACTGGAAGTAATGGGACCCGTGAGCTCAACTCCCAGTTTGGCCTGAATGGCCCTGCCAAGCTTGGCCGAGGAACAAATCAGGCTGGATTTGTCAGCCGCCACCTGCGCACCAATGCCATCAACGATGGCAGCGTGGAGCTGGGGCGCGCCTTCCGTGATGACGTCCACAACAAAATTGAAACTGCCGACAGCACTGAGGCCAGAATCGTCGATGTAGAGCGCCAGTTGGGCACCCTGCCGTAACCTAACAGTATCGAGCGACTCCACCGCGTTAACCCTGATCAGGGTCGTGGCCAACGAACACCCCGCTATGATTCCAGAAGAAGCGTACCACGGACCGTCGATGCAGCCACCCAAGGAAAGAAACCTCGGGGCCCTGTAGGCCCGCACAGCCAACTTGGCCATGGCAATAGGGAAACCCAGCCTTATACAACGACCGAGGAGTCGCTCGAGATCAATGAGCTCGTAGTATTTAAACATGTCCTGCAGGAGGGTAGCCGCATGTAAGGAGTGGGTTGCCCCACTCTCGCTGCGGACGCTTTGCCGCCATACAACGTCTGAGGCCCCCTGGTACTTGCCCGCCGCAAAGTAGGGACGAGCGTGCGACCCCTCCCAGCTCTCGGCAAGGCACCGCCGCGCTTTCCCCCAGATGCGGTAAGGACCCATGAAAATCCCGATAGGGCGGAACCCTCCAGTAGGTTTACCCAGGAGCGCCAACACTGTGGCATCAAGCTGGAAAGGCAACATGCTGGAGATTTCCATGACCTGCAGGATCCTACACAGCGCCGTGACCCCAGGAAGGGAAATCATACTGAAATGTTTCATGTGGAAACCGTCCACGCCCACCGCCGAATACATCTTGTAGCTCCTCGAAATGCGGACCAACTCGTTGGGGTCCAAAGGGGGGAGCTCAGGGGCAGGAAAGAAATCGGCAATAGGTCCCAACTCCCGCGGGGAGTCAAAAGCGCGCCATAAATGAATAAACTTGTTGCGTTCAGCCTCGAGAAGGGACCTGGGGTCACTGACCACACAGCCGTTGGACGAGAGAGTGGAAGTAGGTTTCCAGGGCTTGGGTTCAGAAGTGACCATGTGAGCTCGCTTGGCCCCCTGATCGATGTTCTCTCTCAGCCAACTACGCCAGGAAGCTAAACTGCGGTCCCTAGCTCTGGCTTCTGCCTGCGCGACCACGTCGGAGAACGAGAGAGACAGATCGAGAACGTCCTGCTCGAGCTCTCCGCTCGAGTCCAAATCAGCACGGGTGATCATGGACTGCAAGGTGATAAGCAGCTCCTTATGGGCACCCAGATTATCGACCACGAAAGGGGGAGGGTGAAAAATGTAGGACCTCAGGGCCCTCGCAAAAT